TTGTTTCACGCTACTTTTTTTCCAGTGTGCAGATGGTGTTACCGCGACAAAAATTAAATGTAATATTTTCCAAAATTAATTTTTTCAGTGGAAATCATTCACTTGAACCCGAATTCGGACCCGAGTATGCTACCAGTATGGCACCACTTTCTATCGCTCGAGGACCTGGCACTTCGGGAAGATAAACCGAAAATACTGGGCCCGACCATTCCAACCGGATACGTAGTCAACAAGCCAGGCAGCGGTGGCGCCAACGATAGAGTAGACCCTCCAAAACCGCCGCAACCAATCGATAAACAAGTGAGAGATTTTACTCATGAGAAGTCAATATTTTTTAATTGGTAGGAATACTGATCTTCACTGGGGGAAAAAACACTGGATCTAGAGTCCAGACTCTTGAAAACAGTGACAAGAAAATGGACTCTTGATTCAATCAGATTTTTGCTTAAATCAAAAGGAAATTCACTCAAATTAAGAGGCTTGGTTCTTGATTCAAGCTAAAATCCGATTGAATCAAGAGTATTTTTTCTTGTCGATGTTTTTAAGAGTCCGGACTCTAGATCCAATGTGTTTTTTTTCCAATGTATGTTCTTGTAGTAATTTTTGGGCCTTCTGGGGCCGAAGTTTTAAGATATTCCTAGAACTTCCTAGACTTGAAATCTCCTGGAAACTGCTGTAAGTATATGGATTACAATAAAATAGAGTAAGAATGTTTCATGATGAATCAAGTCACGGCAGTTACAAGGTGTGCTTTAAGATCCCGGCTCTAAAGATATTTTTGCAAAAGTCTTTTCAGGCTAGATTATTCCTAAAAAAGTTCCAGGTTATATTTTCCTAGAATATAACTAATGGCAAGACTTTTGAGGTTAATTTATAAAGAATTAATGGATATAGCGAGTCAAGATGGATTTCTAAAGGGTGCTGTTCATGGATACAAACAATCAGGTCCGGGGCCATTTCCGCCGTTTGATTATCCTTCAATTGGACGTGAGACGCGTTTACCTACTCGTGTTGGATACGTTTTTTGCGAAAGCCCTATCAACATTACTAGCAAAATTTCATGGAACTTGACGCGAAAGTTAAGTTCCGTAAACCTATCTCTATGTGGACAAGGTCTCCCATTTATAAGACAAGAAAAAAAAAATCATGGAAGAACAAACATAAACGTGGTTTAATAATTTTAACTTTCGCCGAACCGCGCTGATCGCACTGTGTTCGGCGCAATGCGTGAAGTATTCATGCATTCTTGTAGGCGCTATCCGTTTCACGCTGACCGCAATGACCGCACTGTGTTTGATGCAATGGGTGAAGTATTAACGCAGTCTTGTAGGCGCTAATATGTGTTACATGCCGACCGTCGCGCCAAGGGCTTGTCCTTTTCATCTCAAGTCCTGGTCATCATACCTGCCTGCGCTGAGCTCCAGGCCAAATTGCGTGTTTAGTTCCTCTCTTAACTCGACTAATTAAACGTGCTGTCTCTTGCATCTCCAAAAAATGACAAAATTAGAAATTACTATACTCTCATAAAAGAGATTTTGTCCCCTTTTCTCATTGATAATTTTTTTTTCTGAGTCCGATTTTTTTTATTCCTACATTTAAAAAAATTGCAAAATTTGCCGCCCCCTAAATTTGGCGCCATGGGCCGCGGCCCATGTGGCCACCCCCTTAATCCGGTCCTGCACGTCACAATGCACAAAGTTCCGTTTGACAGAAGTACGTCCAATTTTCTATACTTTCACGTATCTTCCAACAAAAGCGGATAAACACTATAAATAATGAATGACTAAAAAACTAGATGGAATTTTCAGCTCAACTGATGAATTTCTTTTCATTATTTCCAAATATCCTGCCTGCCTGTTATAGAGCTACTTTTTATCAACTGCCATTTTTAATTTTCCACATATAGTCACAGCAAGTCACAGAGACTGACCTGTACTTACTGGGCGCAATTGAAAAACTTGTCTATCGAGTCGACCTAATGGATAAAAGACTGAGACGAACAGAAGAGCTTTTGCAGCATGTCATCGAAGGGGGCAGTAATCAAAGAGAAGGTAATATATTATCTTAATTAATTATAGTGCAAAGGAGCTATGCTATCAGTGCTTTAGAAATCTATTGTTTTCACTGTTTTCTTTGATAAGAGAACAGGTAGCTACTTTTATTTTAAACTTTCACACAGTAATCTTGATGAAACGAGATGGAATCACATATCAACATGATCTTACTTTGAAAAACATCATTTATTAATGTTCTTATTACATATCAATCGTAAGTATGTACACAACTTTCACGCAGTATTTTGTATCATCGTGTGAGGAAATACATTTCCATTCTATAATTTTGCGCTTTTAGCCTGGTAAGTGATAAGAATGCCAGGTTGAAATAAGACGGTTCTAGACTCTAGTTGAAACTTAAAATAAATCGAGTGCACGAATTAAAAGAAAAAAAAAAAAAAAAAAAAAAAAAAAAAANAAAAAAAAAAAAAAAAAAAAAAAAAAAAAAAAAAAAAAAAAAAAAAAAAAAAAAAAAAAAAAACACTAAAGATGAAGGATATGCATTGCGGAACGTGATCATTTTGCAAATATATCATATCATTGAACAGTGTACAAAATAAAAAATAACACGGGAAAATAGTTGGTTTCAGCCAAATCGTAAAAGTAGGAGAGAAAAATCTCTTGTTCATAAGGTTTTAGATGCAGTTGAACTTTTGTCAAAATTCTTTTCGCAGAACAAAACTTCTTAAGCCGTTTTTGGGAATTTGAAGGCTCATACAGTCGATATTATAGTCTGAACGATACTTTTGAATCCATGGAAAATTTAGGAACTAAAATCGAGACATATCGTTAAAAACAGGTTCTTTCAGTTGAAACACACGTCAAAATGGAACCAGGGATTAAACTTCATTGAAGTTGATAGAAGCGGGCCTAAAAATAAGCCCAGCCGATTCTCCTATCTTTGATCAAAGAACGACGTGGGTTCAATTTGCCTGAAGATTAAAATGAAGGCGCTCGCTTGATCCGTCTGATATTAGACTGCACTATGGAGTGTGGCTGTGCAAGCGTGGGCTTTGTGGTACTATCTTAGATAGCTAACTTACTTGTCTTTCCGATCATTGATTCTACTTAAGTTTTCCGCTTTTTTAGGAATCAATATTCTTTAGACGTGTGCTTCACAAAAGTTACGATTCGTGCTTCTTGAATGCCTTAAGTCACTAAGTATATCTGATTTAACTTAGATTTTACGATTTTACATTATTTTTTTCTTCAATTTGGGTTGGAGATAGAATTTTTGTTTGAGCATGAAAATGACAATTTTAGTATTATTTTCTAATACAAATGTAAAACATTTCAGTTTCGTAACATTAATGAGAATTGGTGGATGTTTAACTTTCAATTTTATGATTTCTTGACAGATCCTTGTCCCGGTAATTTTACCCGAGTTGCCCGGAATTGCTACCACTTCAGCGAGCGCCAATTCAACTGGAAGTCGGCCATGAGTATGTGCAAAAGCCTTGGTGGTAACTTGTTGGAGCTTGAATCCAAGGAAGAGTACACGGAATTCATTACTTTTCTCCTTGCGGATAAACAAACCAGAGGTAAATATCTATCTACGTCGTAAGTTCCAAATTATGGACATGTTCGACAAGTGACATTTTTTGGAAAATTAGAGTACCTATGTAGAGAGGGCCGTTAAACAACTCGTTTATCTTTGTCTTTTATCACTTGTATTTTGTAGTATGTATAATTATGTATGAATGTTGAGAATAATGAAGAATTGTAACGGAGAAGCGTAGGTCAAGGACTGAATGTGGTTTATCGATTAAAAATAAAATCTTGTAATATTAGTTCGTAGATTAGCTCTAAGTTTAAACCTAACACCTATGTAATTAATGCCCCGTAAGGGGCAGTAGTACATTTTTATTTAATAATAAAAAAAAACAAAATGTAGGGAGAGTACGGACGTGTCGAAATATTAAGCTCATAGGGCCCAAAAGAGCAGCCTCCAATCTTCTGGCACGAAAAAAAATAGAAAAATGCCACCGCCAATCTTCAGATTTCAATATCAATTAAAGCAAAATGGCTAAGGATGTTTATAATTGACCGTACTTCCGCACCAAAAAAAAGTTATGTTGATTTAACATTCTAGATGTAAAAAAGTGTGCGAGAATTTACGAAATGCTGAATTACCCGCCACATTATAGTTAATTTTACATCTTGGCATTGATAAAGTAACTTCTGTAGAAGAAAAGTCGGCATTTTATAAGTTCTCGCACACTTTTTTAATATCCAGAATGTTAAATCACCTCCTCTTTTTTTTCGAGCAAAAATATAAGTACATTAATTCAAAAACTTACTCTAGGCTTTTTTTACCGATAATTAATTTCGTCATCACATAATTTATCTGAGTCGATGAGATATTTTCGTCAACGATAGTATTTTCGGTTTCCGTTCCATATGCAGTTTGAATGTGCGTCAAAACTCGCAAATAAAAAGTTTAAAGACCTCTCTAAGTTTCATAAAATGTATTATATTGTGTGGAATTGTAGTGTCAAAGCTCGTGAATTTTCTTGTGCAGGTCATGATTTTTGGACGGGAGGACTAAACCCAGGACTTTTGTGGATTTGGGCGAATAGTGCACAACCAGTCGTAAAGAAGAATTCGAATCGACCGGAGGATGAGATCGCCGGAAATGGAAGATGCCTGAAAATAGCTTACAATACCAATAGCAGGATTTATCATTACTATGGCGCAGATTGTGGAGCTAGACAGAGATATGTTTGCGAACATGAAGAAAATACAACGCTAAGAGCATTGCGTAGAATTCACAAAGCTCTCAAGGATAAATCAGAATTGTAAATTAATGTATAGTCATAAGAACAAGTGCCCGAAATAAAACGAACAAAACTTCATTTATAAGTAAAAGACTCGTCTGTATTAACAATTTTAATTTTTTCCGATCGCTTAATATATCTCAGTCATGGCATATGGAAGCACTTGAAATAGACTGAACGGAGCAAAAATTAAGGCTATGACTAATTGGGCCTCAGTATTTTCAGCTGATAATGAAAGACAGCTTCACCGCACCCTCGACGTTTCTATTTTGCTGTTTTTTTCTCTCAGCCTAAAGATGACGACTTATAAAATAAATTACTACATTTTACAAGAACAACTCTTAAAAAAAAATAAATAAATAAAAAAAAACCTGTCGAACTTTTACTTTGAAAAACCTTTTTTCAGTTGTTCCGTACAAAATTGACAAGAGGTAAAATTGAGGTAAGAAAAGCGTTAGAAACTCTTCAATTATCTACTGCTATATTGCAACACTCACAATTCTTTAAACAAAGTATTAAAAAAGTGGTAGCTTTTTTAACACTCTCATGCGCAATTTTACTTGAAAATATTCAAGAACATTATTTTATGAGCATAATTTTTACAATTCCTTGAAAATAGCTTTTTAAAAGTTGTTTCTGCGGGGGTAGACCAGAACTCCCGGTGTTTTCTCTCTTTTGCTCTCCGATAGTTTCAAAATTTTAGCCTTTGAATATGCTGACAGTGATCCCATCGTAAGGCGGAGATAATCCCGGTCGATTTTTGTTCGTTCCTCACGAAAATACACGTTCATGGAGCGCTGGAGCTAGCCGAGTTTACCCGGTTAACACCTCTCATAATGAACGAAAAAATTGAATCCAGGTTGAAAGTTTGCGTGCTCATTTCACACATCACGACTTCCAGCGCCCTAGCATGCGTCTGCACGCTCTACAAAACCCAAAATTGGAGCTTGACACTGAGAATAGTTTTCGTGTCGTTCACAATTAATTTGCCGAATTACTCCTCTAAGTTCGTGCCACCTAGATCCAGAACAAATAGTGGCTTATGTATCAGCAGCAACGACGGGGTCGCATATAAAGGTTCAGAAATTTTTCATCGGGTGGAAATCTATGACTGAGGAAGGAATTCTTGTTAGGAATTAGCCGAGAAGGGGCCAAAAGATACGATACAAATTAAAGCAATACATCGTATGTTTTCTCTATAAAAATTTACGTAGAAAACGATTAACGAAACGGGAGTTCATAGATCCACTCACTAAATGGACGCATTTCTGCCAAACGGAACTATGTGCATTAAGACATGAGCCCTGCGACCCATAAGAATGTATACATAACGGAGCTCACGTCAAAATGCACATAGCTCCGTTTGACAGAAACACGTCCAAATATTCCACGTGGGAGGGACACCGTCGCAAACGACGAAATTAGGGCGGATCCTTGGATCCTCAGCACTCTAGAGATTGGAGAGAGACGATCGATCAATTTAATAATTTGTGGATTTTGGGCAATATTTTTATGGCAATTAGTGCATCCGCAATAATTTTTACAAAATATCGAAAACTTTGTCGTTATTTTTTGTGAAAAATAGTCCGTTGAGCATTCACTCTTCAAAATAAAATCGTTTTTTATACGTGTAACTGAACTTTCGGCTAATGTCACCGAACTTATTTCTAAAGTTTTTTAACCTCATAAGTTCGGTTTTACAAACCGAACGTTCTGTTGCACGAACTGAAAGTTACCGAATGGTTGGGATGATATAGAACACTATCTTCTCCTTCATTTTGTATGCAATTTTATCTTGCAATTCAAAATAGTTGTATCACGTATTTCGCCCCATCCGACTTTTTTACTCTAGCGTTAAAGTCTCTGAGTCAACAAAAAAGAGACCAAGTTTTCCTTCAATTCTGAGGATATACAATTTTACCTACTTGGAAGTCGAAATAGTTGTATCACGTATTTCGCCCCATCCGACTTTTTTATTCTAGCGTTAAAGTCTCTGAGTCAACAAAAAAGAGACCAAGTTTTCCTTCCATTCTGAGGATATACAATTTTACCTACTTGGAAGTCGAAATAGTTGTATCACGTATTTCGCCCCACCCGACTTTTTTACTCGAGCGTTAAAGTCTCTGAATCAGCGGTAAAGAGACGAAACTCTTCTGCACTATAATATGGACGCGAGAGAGTTTTATTGTTTCATTATTGTGAACGGATTTGTGAAAAGAGATCTCATCTTCTGGAGGAAACTTTAGAATCTTTGAATTTCGCACGAGAAATGATCGTGAAAAGCGCCTGCAAAACTGGAGGAACACTTCAAGCATCGCGTCGTCTCCTCGAGCTCGCAGCGGGATCCGATCTTGAATCTGGTCTCGCTCTCGGCTCTTGACTCGCAAATCGAGCTAAGTTCCGAGATACGTGTGCTATTTGGAAATGTGTATGGCAGCTCACGCGGACACAAATTCAGAAGAGTTTTCTTTCTTTTTTGTTTGTTGTTATGTTTAATCTTCTCTTTAGTTCAGCTCGGCATTCGATGAGACGGGAGTCATTTACGGAGGATTACGCAAAAATGGAACACATTTTGATCAAAACGTAATACATTTCACACATGGTCGTAGCCCACGTAAATTCCCTACTGACTACGCACGATCAATCGTTTGTTCACGAACATTCTGTTCCCCTCGAACATCGGCTTGTTCAAGAACACACTGGAAAAAAAAACATTTGACCTAGAGTCCAGACTCTTGAAAGCATTGACAAGAAAACGGACTCTTGATTCAAACAGATTTAAGCTTAAATCAAAAGGAAATCCGCTCAAATTAAGAGGCTTGGTTCTTGATTTAAGCTTAAATCTGATTAAATCAAGAGTATTTTTTCTTGTCGATGTTTTTAAGAGTCTGGACTCTAGATCCAATGTGTTTTTATTTCCAGTGCAGGGCATGCATGCTAAATGAAAGTTCAATGTCGCTTACATCGAGTTAAGTATCATTTTAATTTAATAAATAAAAAAAGTGAATAAGGGTTGAATATAAACAGGTTATATAAGACCGTACTTTAACTCGTTATATTACGCAGCGTATCAAATCGTAACATGGCGCTAGAAGAATATTCAATGACTCAATCAAGCGGTGCGAGACGCGAGGGGGTGAGTCACCCTGTTCTCCGCCCCCACGCGTGATGAAGGGTTTTTTAAGGGTGCACGGTCACGGTTTGAGCCACCGCACCGTCCTGGCGGCCGGCTTATAAAGCCTCGCTGCCACTTGAACCCAATGATATTTTATTAAGGAAGGCATTTGTTTTAAGATGAGCCTTGCAATATTGGTATTAGTACATTTTCAGGGTTCATCCTGGAAATGGACATACTATTTCACAGATATGGGCTCACTTGTCTAGCCGTGTTAGTGGTGTAACACCTGTTGTCTGCGCGACGAAGGTGTTCCGTGTTTGTTTTAAAGTGTTTTCCCAACAACAATGGCGTGCTCTCTACACTGTTGCCACGCATGAAACTTACTTCGGTTTTCAGATGATTATTATACGCGTTCATCTCACGCTTAAGTTCCACCTAGTTCACTCTCGAGTTTCTTTTAGAACCGAAATAAAAGTTGTATGATACACTTGAACGCTTTAACATTAGCAGTCACTACTGCTTGGTATATATTAGAACATCGCCTGATCCCTGAGAATATTCGATTAAAAAGTTATCACTAATGTTTTTAAAAAAAGCATTTAATTTGAGGAAAATTTACGCGAATATTCCACGAGGAGGTATTCTTTTTTTCTTCTTCCGTTTCCGGTGGCATTCATAGAGGTGTCGCAGTTCTCAGCAGAGTATCCCCTGCTAAAACGACCATGTTAGTGAGTAAAACATAGTACCATGTTGATGACGGCATCGTTTCAACATGGGATCAGCATAGAGCAAGCGAACACAAAATGTATTCTCTTCCGTGGCGGATTTATTTCGTCATCAGCACGGTACCAAACTGGTACCATGGTCAAGGTGGTCAAAAGGTCAAAGTGCCAAACAGTGCCCAATATGATACCAAAATGGTATTAACGTGAGATTATGATGAGACTAAGTTTGTGCCATGTTGGCACCAAGTTGATACCATGTTGATGCCGTGTTGGCGTTAACATGGAATCATGTTTTTCTCACCAACATGGTATTATACTGGTACCATCTTGGTGGTAACATAACTTCAACGTGGCACCGACAGGATCGTTCACAGCAGTGGTTATCACCGTAGTACACGATTAACAGCGGTGCGTAACGTTATTTTTACGAACTGACTGCTTCCTTTTAACTCACGTTCTCCACAAATAAGATAAAGTTTCCTGTTTTTAAGTGAACAACTATTATTGTTATTCAGATAAGATCAGTCAAATTTTGAAAGAGCCTCGATTTGAATTTTTGTTCATTTCTACCCTCTTTGGTATGGACTAAGAGGGGCAGAACTGGCAACTTCACGACTGAACTACCCGAGCCGTACCGCTCTCTAGCGGCGAAGGACCGAAGCTATCGCGACGGAGGCAAGCCCAGCGACTCCCTGTCTAGTAGTTCGCGTGTTTTCGATGAGTCAACTGAAGCGCGATTTCAACTTGGCGCGTACCTGTGAGTAAACAACTTCGTCGAGCTCATTTCCCGCGTCTCATCCTCACTTTTACTCGGTTCCGAAAGAATCGTTTCCAACGTCATCGTGCAAAAAACACCCTAGAATATGCCCACCGAAAGTGTCAGTCGAGTGAATCTGTGAAAAACAAGTGATTTTCCATCGATTCTTATCAATCCGCGATTCCGCTTAGTGATAAGACCAGAGGAACACATCGCCCGAATATAGCGGTTTATCTTGCGAGGTGTGCGCTGCTATCCAGAGCTTTCGTGCTGCCTCCGTTGCATGATATGTAAGAATTTTTACGAGTGAACTGTATGAGGCTTCGCGCGTGTAATTTTTCCGGTTTCCGACGTCTTTTCGTCTACAATACGTTAAAACATTGAACTTTAGTGAAGTTAAGTTGGAATTTCCAACCAGTCGTCGTGTGAAAGTGGTTTAAGTTTTTTGTGGAGTTAGTGACATTGGAGTTGTGATACATGTGCTACTCGGATTTGTTGGTGGCTCCATTCCTTAAAAATTGGTAAGTTACAAAAAAACGCATGCACTTAAGTAAGTAAACAATTTCAAGTGTCTCAATGTCTACATGTGGTCGTTCAAGGGGAAAGAGAACTTTGGTTTTTTGTCGACCAAGTCCACACGAACTCAAAATTGAGTTTTACATGATAGAGCTCGAGGAAATATTCTACGAAATTTCGGGACAGAAATAAACGCCCCAAAATATTTAACTAAACCGGAGATAGGGTAGTTTGAAATGTGTAGTTTAAATGACGTGAACTCACGAAAAAGCTACTTGCTGTCATGAGTTCTTTATATTCCAATCTACCAATTTCCAACAAGTTACAAAATTGCTGGATTGTCGTTAATATTAAGCCTTTTTTAGCACAAAAATGAAACAGACAGCTTGCAATTCCATTTTTTCGGACATCGGAAAGAGTTCTCCGTCTAAATCTGAAAATCCAATTCTCGAATCCAACTGGACAAAAATCGACCCACTGGTTTCATTTCCGTTGACTTAAGCCCAACTGACTTATGAAATTAACGAGCAAAGGCCAGTTTTGACTTTGGCAGCGAAAAATACGCCATTAATCACCCGTCTCCCGCACACTTATCTAAGAAATCGTATTGTTTTCTTTAGTGGGAGAATCTTTCCAATCCGACCACTTGAGACTTTTATTCTTCATGATGTCAAACGATTCGATTTTTTTGTATAATAAAAAAAAAGTTTAACGAGAGATTTCTGGGGAACTCGATGGTGCCACTAATTTTAATTTTAGTATCTTAATGGGAACAGAACCTCAGTTTCTTTTCATAAATTCTCACTAGTTTATAAGAGTAAAGATTTATTTTAAAAATAGGAGTTATTGGAGAAAATGCCCAGAAAATAATAGGAGGTCTATTTTCGGAACTTCGGATATATCGCGGATATACATAATTATCGGATATATTAAGTTTTGTCGTCCCGCGTAGAGTAATTTATCATGAAAAAATGCAGTTTAAATTACAGCAAAATGTATCATTTCTGAACAGCCAAATTCAATGAAAGAGGAAAAAGCGTTTAGTCAATGAGTAAAGTATGAGATGAACGCCGGCAAGGCTGTTTATAAATGTTTATGAGATTGTTCGGAGTGAGTTAAGACCACGTTTGAATTTCTTGCATAATTTGCATTGAATGCATGAGAAAATTTAATTTTGGACATGCTAGGTCTTTGCATACAAAGACCATGAAAGGTTATTATTAATTAAAAAAAAAAAAAAAAAAAAAAAAAAAATTTTCGGAGTTTTGGCGTGATCCTCACGCTGACGATAAAAATCCACTTAGTGTAAAGTTTTCTGCGATAAAATCATTTTCGGCTCCTTTTAGGCTTGCTAGGTTTCAATGTCGGCTCATTTAATTACCTACCTGACCTTAATTTTTGAGTGTCAAATGGATACCAAGAGGAGAAATTAATTTTAAACTTAAAAACTTCGAATGAGAGTGTGAAATCAGTGAAAAGCATGTTTCGCTGATGTTTGACTGAGTAATTTGCTAACTTTACAAACCACCAAGCTCGAAATTCGTCTCTCCCAGTACAATTAAAGATTATATACGTTCCAAGAGTTTAAGGATCAGTTGCACCCGTACTCGCACTGGAAAAAAAACACATTGGATCTAGAGTCCAGACTCTTAAAAACATCGACAAGAAAAAGTACTCTTGATTCAATCAGAATCTAGCTTAAATCAAGAACCAAGCCTCTTAATTTAAGCGGATTTCGTTTTGATCAAACCAATAATCCAATTGAATCAAGAGTATTTTTTCTTGTCAGTGTTTTCAAGAGTCTGGACTCTAGATCCAATGTGTTTTTTTTCCCAGTGCGCCGTAACCATAGCCTGATTTTTTTCCAATGCAAAAAAAATAGTAAGGCCGAGTCAAGACTTTTCTAAATCATAACGGTTTAATTTCCTTTGAAATGAATCCGCTCCACAATTGAATCATCGTGAAAATTGTTGGCACTGATACGCGACCGAATATGAAAAGGAGGGAAATTAAATTACAAAAAATGAGAGCATCGGCAACCTTGGATCATTCGTAAAAAACAGTTGTAAATAGATACCTCCGTGTGTCATCAATTCTTGAATAGCTCATTCAAGTCTAACACTCCTCTTTATTGCCGCGTAATTACTTTTGAATAAGGTTCAAATAAACATTAATTATGTCTCGCTCGCACGGAAGGGTCTCCGAAGAAAGTTATACGCCGGCCGTGAAGGAAAGTAGATTCCTTTTCTGTTCACAACTTTCTTGATTTTCATGGGAGCGTGTTTTTCCCATGATTAATTATATTTTCCCTTTCTTTACATGCAAAGTATTTTATACTTGGTGAAATAGTTTTATTTTGTAGACGGCATGACCGCAACTTGAATGATGCTGAATTTAGAGCCGGCGGTTGTAACAGTGAATAAGTTATTTTAAACGTTTTACCGAAATGCTTTCAATTTTAAATTAGGGGGATACGCCTCCTGACTGCTTCGCGGTCCAACCCGTGTTCCGCGTTATGCGTCACGCGTTGTATTCTTTAATTTCCGAGTCTTTTTCAAATTCTCTCAAATTTTTTTCTCATACACGAGCATCTAATTAAATAATTCAAAATTCTACGCAGGAATTTTCAGCCGAATGGACGAGAACGTATTCGATAGCATTCACGTGTAATAAGCGATGCTACAAAGCACCTTTAATAACTGGTCTATTATAATTATTTCACATTACATGCTTTTCTTACATTTATAGGTCAAATAAAATCATCGTTTATCATTCTAAATAAACAAAAAAAAAAGGCATGGAGGAATGTTGAAAATAGAATGAGATGGGGCTTTGGTATGAGTAAACACCTTAAATTCATGTTCAATAAAGATGAGATTATGGAATTATACGAAGCAATCATGCTTATTTTCTGCCAAAATGTCCGTCCGTTTCATACCCTCGAATACTTTTCGGGACCTTGAAAGAATCTCAAACTTTTCCCTTTCGCATTATGCAATGACGCAAGGAAATCCGAGGCCAAATTACATTTCTCCTATCTTTGGCTGTGTTGCTCACGTAGTCTGTGAAGCACCATTACAAATAAGACGATACAAAAGACATTACAAAAAACAAACAAAATATGATGGAAATGTAGCCAAGGAAAGGAGGAGCGTTGCTGACGGCACAGAGATACAACTATTCGTGCTTGATGGATGTCCGTGTTGCATCTGCAAAATTGAAGGCGCCAGGCGTGAACTCGTAACGCTCCGTTCTTTGCTACTGATGAAATTCGGGAGAAAAGTTAAGGCTATTTTCTATTGTGCAGATATTCCAGGGAAGTTAGATGATATTATTCCAAATTCTAAAGGGAGCCAGCGCCAAGCCTCCTAAGCGCCCATAATAGTGTGACGGGCCGAGGAAATTGCTCGTTTACATACATACATTCCAGTCGCTTTACAGCGCGCTCGGGCGCTCTGCGACACCTAATCGCCATCCTTGCCTATCGATCCAGAGGTCATCTGGTAGATGGCATCTTGCGATTTCATCTTGAATGCCACCAATCCACGATTTTGCTGGGCGTCCCCTACGTCTTCTCCCAGGAGGAACCCAATCTAGCACCTTCTTAGGCAACCTATCATCCGCCATTCGTTGAACATGACCATACCAGACAAGCTGTTTGGTCATAATTTCATGCACGATGTTCTGCTCGGCGTCGTTTACATGCCAAGCAGATACTCAAAAGTTGTTTTAGTAGTTTTTTTGCCTAGTTCAATTAAAGGATCTCAAAAGTATATATAGTTTGTATCCACACATTGTCGCATCCCTCACAAACTGCAGTACCTTTTTAGGGAGAGTGCAGACATGTCAAAATATTAAGGTCTCGGGGCTCAAAAGGGCAGCCAACCTTCGAACGCGAAAAATGTCGCTGCCAATCTCAGATTCCAATAACAAACCAAAATGGCTGGGCGTTTCCCCGCCAAAATAAGTAAATTTATGGGAAAACAAAGTCAAATTCGTGCTTTACAAACGAAGGGTCGTTAAATTGTAGGAGTAAATCATTCTGGATGATTTGACTTGAGGGGCTTCGAGGACAGGGCGCACATGTGCAGATTTTGCAAAAAATGAGATATTAATGATTTCAAATAAAACTAGTCCTAATGCATATTCTGTGAAAACTTCTCTTCCAAATTCCAATTTTTAAGCATCATAAAGCCACTTTGAACTTTCTTTCCGCCATAAGGATCCATATAATATTGAAACTTCAAACACGTTTTCCTCGGAATAATAGCAAAAACTGCACTTATGTGCCTCATCCTCCAAGCTCCTCACTTCATAGGATGGCTGCCCTCTGGACCCTAAAAGCTCCATGACCTAAACGTAACCTTAAAATTACCGACATGTCCGTACTCTCCCTGCATAGGTACTCTATCACGAACCCACGTGTGCGTTACAACACGCACCGATGCACCAATCTATATCGCGTCCGATTCACGATCCTACACTTTCCCGTATGGTTCGGCACGCTCCCTTCGGATCAGCGACAACTTTCTACGAGATCAAACGACAGCGGTCCCCCTCGCACGGTCCCTTATAAAGATGCGTCAGCACGAAGGTAAATCTCTGATATGAGCCTATGAATCTCGGATGGAGGAAAGCTCCGTAAGTTTCGAGCCGGGAGCGAGATCGGTGCGACATGTGACATGTCCGTGCCGCGCGGCCGGGGCGGCGGCGCGGCGCGTAGGCGGGTCACGTAAAAGCACGGACGGGTTATGCTCTGATAACGCACGGCGATGCAGACAGCTCCGGCTCCCGGTGCGGTCGCGCTCGGGTCTCTCGTGCGGGATGCATGCTGCAGTGCTAAGGAAAAACAACGCATCAACGTCCCAGAGTTGCCAAATTTCACACTGGAAAAAAAAAACACATTTGATCTAGAGTCCAGACTCTTGAAAACATTGACAAGAAAATATACTCTTGATTCAATCGGATTTTTGCTTCCCGTGAAATTTCATGAAATATTTTTGAA